TGTTGTTGTTGTTGTTGTTGTTGTTGTTGTTGTTGTTGTTGTTGTTGTTGTTGATAATGATCTTATTGTTGTTTTTGTTGATGTTGTTGTTACTGCTGCTGTTGTTTTTTTCTTTTGTTTGTTTGTTTGTTGCTGTTGTTGTTGTTGTTTGTTGTGGTGGTGGTTTTGTCTCGTTTTTCTTCAATTTTGTTTTGAGTTTTCGGCAATATGTTGTTATAATTATTTGTTTCGCTTTTACCATCTCTTCTTTGTCTGTCATTAATTGTTTTGTTGCTGCTACTCTTGTTTTTACTTTGCTTTGCATATTTTTTCCCGTTGATTTTGACAGATCGTGAGCTATTTTGGCCCCATTCGTTTGTTTCACCATGTATGTTATTTGATTAATGAATGTTTTTCATCTTGAACCCCCCCCCCCAAAAAAAAAGCGATGGGATTTGTTTGCGTGCATGTGTTTGGAGAGGGAATGATGCTTTCACTCTTACTCTCACTGTCTCTTACTCTCTATCTCTCTCACTCACTTTCTTCTCTCTCTACTTCGTGAGTTGTTGGCGGGTGCTCTGGTGTGGTTTGCTTCTTCTTTCCTGTCAAACACCAATGATCGTCTTTGTCTCCCCTTCTTCTTTTTTGTGTTTGTTACTCTCTTGTTTGACCTTATTATGTTAAAAGTGCCGTAAAACTCTTACTAAAACAAAAAATTGTTTGTTTGTTTTGTTTTTTGTTTGTTTGTTTGCTTTGCTTTTAAGAGGTTTTGATTTTTGTTGTTGACGTTGTTATTGTTGTTGTTGTTGTTTGTTTTTGTTGTTGTTCCTGTTGTTGTCGTTGTTTGTTGTGGTGGTGGTTTTGTCGTGTCTTGCTTTTCTCCTTCGTTGGTTTTTTTGTTTGTTTGTTTGTTTGTTGTTGGGTTTTTTTTGGGGGGGGGGTTGAGTTTGTGTCAATAGAACAATATCATGTTCTTATAAGTTGTTGTTGTTGTTGTTGTTGTTATGTTCTTATAAGTAGCTGACTAGAACCAACACTGCTTAAGTCAGGAGTTAATCGACGCCAAGTGGTGTTTAGCACTTGTTGTTGTTGTTGTTGTTGTTGTTGTTGTTGTTGTTGTTGTTGTTGTTGTTGTTGTTGAGGTTATAACACAGGGTGTGACTCACCACCCAGCTCAATGACCCTCTCTCCCCCCTCCCCTTCTCCTCCTGACTGGCCAGTAGTCAAATCAATCATAGCGGACATCCCTGGGACATGTCAGCGGTCAAAGAATACCACACCAGACGCTTCGATACCTCCTCAGACACCACCACCCCCCCTCACCCCTCACCCTCACACAACACCCCCCCTTCCCCCTTCACCCCTCACCCTTTCACCCTCACCCCACTCACACACAGTCTCAAGGCGCACGCAGCAAGGGTGAGGTGGCTAACTAATACGCATGTGTTTCTCACTCCCCTCCCCCCCTCCCTCTCTCTCGCACGCGCATACAGTCAGACGAACACACACACACACTCACTCACTCATACACACACGTACACACATACACACACACACGCACACAGATCCACACATACACACACACACACACACACACACACACACACACACACACACATAC